CATCGGCAAGTACAACCATAATAAACGTATTCGGTGTAAAGGCGTCGATAAAAGCAGCAAAGTGGCTATTCCTCACATGCATGTATTCAAACTGAGAGCCCATTTTACTAAAAAAAAGTAGGTGAATGCTGGGGAAAACAAACAAAAAAGCGATAGAAAGATAAAAAAAGCACACACCTGCAACTCAGTTTGAACTGCTTGATTATGTTTGAAACTTTCTCAAATCGATGCATATCGCGATGTTCAGTCATCTCTGCATGAGCGATCACAAGAAAAGTTGCTCTTTCAAATAGCATCACCTTATAATACGGTAGTTTTTTCGAATAAGAAAGCAAAAAAAAAAATTTCATCGAAAAATCCAAAAAGATGCTCATAAAACCATTAGCATACCTCGTCAGCATCAAGTATCTCAGCAAATTGTTTCAGCTTCTGTTCCATAATGCTTACATTGGGTATTAGCTTATACACTATTGCCGACCATGCCTAAATTAAATTGATAATATTGCCGAAGTATGAATGAAAACACATAAATCAATAGAAATCACCTTATATAAAGTCTCATCCCATATGCTACTGCGGAAACATTGGCAAACGGCATTCGCACGGTCTGCACCTGCCGCCAGCTCGCTGAACTTCAAAACAAGGGCGGCGCGATCTTCAAATGTCTGTAGACAAAATTATATTATGCATTTTTTTACGAAATGGAAATAATTTAGTGTCCTTACCTTGTCTCGATGATCAACTTCAATAAGGTCCATTTTGTGAATTAAGCAGAACACCTAGACAAATTTATAACACAAGATTAGCGATGAAGGAATCTGCCGAACCTGCGCATTGGGAGAATTGTGTAAGAGGGCTTCGAGGCAAGACTGATAATAGCCGAGGTCTTTCTCAAACTCTCTACTTTCCACATCGAACACATAGATCAAAACCTGAACTGACAGTAGAGGAAAATAAATTAGGGTTAATAACGATTACCTGAACGTTCTTAAAAATCTGATCTTTCTGTGAAGACAAATAATTATTCATAAACGTTTCCTGTCCACCGCAATCCCACAAATGTAAAACAAGGTTTCCGAGAAATCTAAAAACATTGAACTAAAATTTTGAAACGAGCAAATCACAGGAAAAAACATTTTCGAAATAGTTACCGAACATGTGCATGCTCCACTTCCATTGTTGGCCCTAATCTAGATGTGTCACGGGCGATATAGTTCGCAAATATAATTGAACGCATGCTGGTCTTTCCCGATCCGCTCTTGCCCATCAACAATACTTTTCGTTTGGACGACATCTTCAAATACACGTAAGTGAAAATACAACAAAACAAGCGAGATCTTGCAAACGACATAAAGGGTGAGCTCGAAGGAAACTGAGCATTGCGAGGTTCAAAGTACCAATTCAAAACAAACAGGTGGAAAGTGTACAGTTCTTTTGCTCCATATCAGTTTCACAGTACACTATAAATAACATTTTGCAAAATAAATGCAGGGTTAAATCACCAAGAAACTCTCGCGCTGCACCTACGAGTCTAAGCGAATCACGTGGTTTCAGTGATCAGTACTGAAACTTCCCTTTTTTAACTCTAGCGCATTACACTAATTGTTTGATT